GCCACTTAAGTTAAATTAATTTCCACATATTTTAGCTTGAAATAACCCTCGCATCATTAATTTGGAGTTTTATTCTCTTATGCTTTTTAATCTAGCTATGTTTTGTCTGCTTGGTTTTATGTTGGCTGGGTTAGTTTTAACACCTCCGTTGGTGTGTAAAGTTTCACTGAGTGGTCCGCGTCCATTATTTGACTGCTTTTCCAGCCATTATGGATTTGGCTGGTACCATCGGTAGCAGCGTTTGTTTTTTTCTTTAGATTGAAATTTTCATGGCGATCTTTGCTCGATTTTGTTGATTATTTATTGTTTTGCGGTCATGTGACATCATGTTTTCCTTTGTTAAACATGACGCGAATGGATCACGCTTATGAAAAACTTTTAGGTTCTCCTTCAGATGGCTTTTTGTCGGAATTTGTGACAGCATGCAAAAGGGTTCAGTCGTGGGAGATCTTTGGAAGCATTGTCCTCATTTATTTCTCGTTTCAACTCTTTCAGCGAATCATTTTGCAACGGAAATTTCGAGTCCTTCTGGCCGAAAAGCAAAAGCTTCTTCTGGAAGCTAGGACACGACTCCAGGATCGTGTTCAAACTGATCCTCTCTCTTCCACGCTCAAGGATCTTTCTGCTCTTGAGATTCACAATAGGCTCCAATATCAGAAGATAACTCCGTTTGAAGCTCTTCGTGTTTATCAAAGAAGGGTTGTCGATGTCCTAGATTCTAATTGCATCTGTGATGTGATTGAGGAAGCTGAAGCATCTGCCCAGTCAATTGACTTGAATTTTCACTCACCCATTCGTGGGTTACCGGTTAGCGTGAAAGAAAACATCGCTATAGGCGGTTACGATTCTAGTATCGGATTGATGAGCCGTCTGCTCAAACCTGTCGGGAGCGACGGTGTGTTGATTAAGGTTATTCGTGGCGTTGGGGCCGTTCCCTTCGTTACCACAACCATGAGTCCTACTGGTTATTGCCTTGATGGTTCAACGCAGATTTTCGGGAAGCAGCGGAACCCTTATGATACTAGGCGTCTTGCTGGTGGAAGTTCAAGTGGAGAAGCAATTCTTATCGCTAAAGGGGCATCACCTCTTGGTTTTGGCACGGATATTGCGGGCAGCGTCCGCTTACCGGCCGCGTTTTGCGGCATATGTGCTCTTAAGCCAACCACTCGTCGTGTGAGCACAATTGGTGTCGAATCTGTCTCACAATCTGGGTGCATTGCTCTGCGTCCCGTGTTTGGTCCCATGGCTAGACATACGCGTCTCCTTTCCGATGCTATGCGAGCTGTTCTCAGTCCTGTTATGTTTGGTCTGGACCCGCGCACACCTCCTCTTTCATTCTCGGAAGGTGTTTTCTCATCCAACAAACCTCTGATAATTGGATTCTATACTAATTTCGGTGGCGATATTGCAATTAAGGTTGTGCCTTCAGTGGAGTCTGCTCTTTCTCGTGCAAAAGCCTGTTTGCAGGCTAAGGGTCACACGTTGGTGGATTTTCAAGTGCCAGATCCCGACAAATTAGTCAGTCTTTCCATGAAAAGCATGCTAGGTGATGGTGGAATTGCCCTCTGCAAGGCAGCGCGTTGCGATCCTGTCAATCCTCGTCTTCGACGCACCTACTTTCTCCTAGGAATACCTGCTCTTCTCAGACGGATGGCTGGGCGGCTTGTTTCTACTTTTTTTAGTAAGTCTATTGGTGAGGTGATTTGTGCGTCTACGGGCTGTCAAACGGCTTTGGAGGTGTTCACCGTTTCTAAAGAAGTTGAGAAGTATCAGGACGCCTTTGCAGAAGCCTGGGCATCTGCGCAAATTGATGTCCTTCTTTGTCCTGCCTTCCCCTTTCCTGCCCCACTTGAGACCACTCCGGATGTTCTTATAGCTAGTGCTGTGACATTTACATCAATTTACAACCTGTTAGATTACCCTTCGGGTGTAGTTCCGGCGTCCAAGGTAAGCGAAGATGAAGTGGTTGCTGCCAAAAAACTTGAAGGTGAGTATCGCAAATCAGGGGACTGGTTGAATGCAACACACGCAAAACTACAGAGTGATACGAAGGGACTTCCAGTTGCGGTACAAGTAGTTGGAAAGCCGTTAGATGAAGAGACGGTTTTGCGAGTGATGCAAGAAATTGAGGAGGGTCTTCATTTGGAGTAATTCATTGCTCTGTCTCAAATCTCGCGTTTTTTTACTTTCTAATCTTGTATTGTGTTTTCTCTTCCATTTCAATAAAGTAGGAGTGGTGCCCACGGTGGGTGACTTTACAGTGTATTCCTCCCTTTTGCGTTGGTAATTAAAGGTAGTCTTGAGCATGATTGAACCCGTAATGGAGGTCGGAGGCTGTCGTGAGTGCTTTGAATCGGCGTTTGTGTTTCGTGGGCCCCAGCCATGGGTCGGTGTCTAGATAACATTTAGGTGCTGGCATCACTGTTGTAAAAGTCTGGGAGCGCAGTTGCTATTAACGGCCCACAGACTCGTGATGTTGTTCCTAGTCATAAGTGTTGACGATTATATTGCATCGATCTCAGGCGAGTCTTTCACTGTTCTTTGGGACCTACAGGTTGCGGGTCGTTTAGTGTCGCGTCTTTTTTGCGATTCTGTTCGTGCTATTTTGGATGAAGCTCAATGCATGTCACGGTTCAATTTTATGAGGATGTCGAAGTGCCGTAAGCATGTGCTAATGGTATCTACTGTGCTAGAAATAAACTTTGTAAGTAACCTCTTATTTTCCAACTTATTATCATCTCATTTCGTGTCCGCTGTGTGTAAGGCATCAGAACTAGTTTTGGCGCTTGAGCAAATGCTCGTTAAGACTGCCAGAAGGGTGTGGGTCACGTGATGGCCTAGTGAACCATGCGAAAACAGTTGACAGTAGGCTTTTCAAATCGTTTTATTGTGCGATATATTTTGATGTGTAAGACGATTTAAACGGTCATTGCCTGTGTTTTCAGCGTTTTTTCCTTTTTGTTACATCTGAAAGGTAACTATTCAGACCGATTGATGAATGGGCTGCCTTGATTATGTTTCCGGTAGGTGGTGAAATGATCATTGGTGTTCTTGTTTGTCAAATGAAATCTCGTGATTGCAAGCATTACTAGTATTTGCCGCTGGCAACTTTTACTATATGGATGTGTTT